GCCGCCCCTGCCTCCGCGCCGCCTGCCGGGTGCGGCCGCGGCCCGCTCGGTCTGGGCCGCGCGCTTCTCGCTCCTGAGCGCCCTTGTTCATTTCTGGGTGAAAGCGACCCGAATCGTGCAACAGGTTTGGGTGTTCATCTTTATTTTCCGGTGGGTCCGGTCCTTCCGGCGTGCAGGGGCCAGGTGTGGCGCCGGCCTCGGGGCGAGTCCCCGTGTCCATGCCCGCGGCTGGCTCCTTTGTGTGACCGGTGACCAGCCCTACCCGGTGGGTGGAGGACTCGGGCTCCAGGCCCCCGGGCTGCGCGGAGCCGGCTGGACGCCTCCCTCGCCGTTGGGGCTTGGCTTCCCCAGGCCTTGCAGGAGGGCAGTGTCCCTTCAGCCTTTGGAGTCACAAAGGGAAGGCAGAGAGCCGGCTGGCCAGGGTCCGTCGTGGTGCATTAATTTTGTATATTTCGGGTAGACTCACAGCATTAGAAAGGAGCCATTCTGACCCGCTCTGGAGGATGTGGGTGGGATTTCACCCCGAAATGCACGGTTTGGACTTGCTGCTGCTGCGACAGCCCCCTGGTTCTCCTGGTGCTTTGACATCCTCTCACACAGACATCACCCTGAGAAGTTGGCGGTGCTGTTGAGGGAGTAAGGAGACAGCGGCTGTTTGACAGGTCATTTCTTTCTTCATGTTTTGTCTGTGTCAAGGTACCCACCGTGCATCCCAGCATCACTTGGCAAGTCCTCCAGTTTAAATTGCCTCTCATAATACCCCCATGTTTCAAAATCTTTATCCATGTGGTTTTCTTTGGCATTAATAACGCTTATTTTCTTAATGTGAGAAAATTTCCCCTTCAAGGAAGAAAACATATTAAAGAACACTTTATTTACATACCTTGGGTCATGGCGATACCTAGCTGGTTCCATGGTATGTTATTTTAGTTTAACAATGCTAAATAGAAGGAAAATGTCTTCCTTTTGCTTTGAGCAATAAAATACTCTTTGTTCTAGAACCAGGAAACCTTTATACCTAATACTTCTGTGGACAACAGTTGGTGACTATCTTTACTCCATATCCAAATACAGGAAAAAATCCCCAAATACCTATAAAGCATTACACCACTCGGTGGATTGTTTTTATGTCCTGAAATTCAGGAAATCATTTTGCTGAATATTTATTCAACTAAATATTTAGACTAAATTTAACCTTAAAAATCGGCCTACTCTTAAAAGTTCCCTAACATTAGAAAAATGAATTGATTGCATTTAAGGAGTTTACCAAGCATTTTAATCCCTGTGAGTAATAATTGAAAAGAATAATTTGTGGAAAAGATTGGGAGCTAGGGATGGTCTAGAAACCTGACAGCAGGTGCAGAACACAGAAAGTGATAAATAGAAGTTGCCAAGTTGTATCAACTTCTGTTTTAGTAGATCGACAGGCATATAGTGGCATTTAAACAGATAATCTTACTAATGACTTATCTGAAAACTGAAGGTCCATTGGTTAAAAAAAAAACCAGAATATACTGTGTTTTGACTTTTTAAAAAATATATTTTGTAAGGACTCCCTGAAGCTTTTTTCACTCCCTAAAAATAAACTTGGTATTATGGATAATAAGGACATTTCTTTTGAAGAAATGAAATTGTACCAAATTAATCTGATTTGTAGAAAGTTTCTCTAGCATAATAGTTTTACTTTACTAAAAAATAGCACCCATCTGTGTAACCTCTAAGTACAAAGAGCTTTAATAGATATTACTAGCAACAGGAACAACTTCTGGAAAAAAATAAGCTATTTAGTATAATAAAAAGGAGCGGAAACTAAACTACTGCTATAGTTTTCTCTAAGATATAGTTAATAGACCGTATCATTCTTTCTTTTCAAGTGTACAGTTTTGTGGTTTAGTAAGTTTACAAGATTGTGTAGACATCCCCACTAATTAAAGAACATTTCATTACTTTAAAAAGAAACTCATACTCAGTGACTGTCAAACCATTCCCTGCCTTCCCAGTACATGACAACCACTAATTTACTTACTGTTTCTATAGATTTGCTTATTCTGGACATTTCATGTGAATGGAATCATATGTTATATGGCTCTTTGTGTCATTCACGTAGCATAAAGTTTTCAAGGTCTTTCTATATCCTTATTATAGTAAGTATCAGAACATTATTCTTTTTTATGGCAGCATTTATTCTGTTGAATGGATATACCACATTTTATTTATCCATTCATCACTTGACAGATATTTATCTTGTTTCCACATTTTGCTTATTTATAGTAATATTGCTTCTGTGGATACTCATTTACAAGTTTTTGTATGGATGTATGTTTTCAGTTCCCTTGGATTCTAGTCTGTTCTGTTACTAATTATAGAAAATTCCTGGATCTGGGTAACTTATAAATATAGAGGTTTATTTAGCTCATGATTTGGGGGACTAAAGGCCTTCTGGCTGAATTATATAGTAAAGAACATGAATCTGTGTCTCTGTTTTGGTCTCAGTCCCTCCTCATAACCCCCCCGGGAATCAATCTTGGGGACCCCATCCTCAGGATCTTAATCCTAATCTCGCCTCAAAGGCCCCCATTTACAACACCATGGTAGGACTGCATTTCACCTTCTTTTTTTTGGAGATATTTTCACTATAGGGCACGTGTGCTCGCCAGACAGACAGAGAGAGAGACATAGAGACACAAAGCGAGAAATCACCCCCCAGGGGGGATGGTCACACCACAATCCCTTCTCCTCCATTCTCCTCTCGGGATCTTGGGCACGCACGCACACGCGCCCGGCGTGAGTTTTATGCCACCAGGTCTGGGACGTGAACCGCGGTCGACTACGTGGGAGTCCAGCGACATAGACATTACGCTAACTGCTGGTTCTTGCATTTCACCTTCTTAATCCCTTCACAACCAGATCTGAACACCTACATTTTAGGGGAACATGTAAATGACAGCAGGTGTATGTCTAGGTGTGGAATTGATATGTCTTATGATAACTTCCTTTAACTTTTTGAGAAACTGCTAAACTGTCTTCCATAGCTACTGCATGATTTTACATTCTCACTAGCAATATACACAGGCTCTGTTTTCTCCATATCCTTGCTAAGACTTGTGTTTGTCTTTTTGATGAGAGTCATCTTAGTGGCTATGAAGTGGTATTTCATTGTGGTTCTCTTTCTTCTTCTCTTCTTTTTTAAAAGTCTTGCTATAGGGCATATGCACTTGTGGGAGACAGACAGAGAGAGAGAGAGAGCACTCCTCTCCCCCCAGGGAGGGGGTGGCCACCCCACAATTCCTTCTCTGGAATGCACATATGCCTGGTGTGTTTTTTAGGCCATCAGTTCCGGCAGCCAGCCTTGTGGGATCTAGCCATGTTCACCTCCCTGCCATCTGCTGGCCCTCATTGTAGTGTTCATTTGACTTCTGGTGTTTCATGTTCTTATCAGCCATTGGTATACATTTTTTGGAGAAATGTCTGTTTATAATAGTTTTTAAATTTATGTTTTCACATGTATTTTCTTATTTAATTTTTAAAATTATCCCGTAAGGTAGGTTTATCCCTTTCTTACTGCTAGGAAACTAAGGTGCAAACAGGTTCAGTCATTTGCCTGTTTTTTTAACCTTAAGCAGTTTAGTGAGAGGCAAGATCTAAATGTAAACTTGGGTCTCTGACACTGTTTACTACATTCTTTCCACTTGATGGGGCATACAGAAGTTAAATTGTAAATTTTCTTGGCTAATCAGTGACAGAGTAGGGGGAAGTAAGAAAAAGTCACACCAAGCAGCAGCAAAGGAGCAGTTGTCATGACTACACTGCCTCATATTCACTTCCATTTGTTAGGATTATTCCAATAAATTCTTTGTTTCTCCTATCCTATTAAGGTAGATATAATTTCCATATTTCCAGAGGGGAAACAGTTAGAAAAACCTAGTAACAACCTCTTAGTGGCATGTAATCCCAGAACCCACCCTTCATTCAGATGCATCATATTTTTTATTCCTGAGCAGCTTCCATGTTCTCTGTTTTCCCACTAATTTGTATCTTCTAACATTAAAATAATAAGTTTTGTTTTCTACATAAACATTAAGGTTTTTCTGGGTTAAACTGAAATCCATTTTTATTTTGGAAGAGGACAGTTTGCCAGTTTCACTTTGACAGACAGGCTTATAAAATACTTATTTTAGTTTTTATGTACTATTCCGTATCAGACATAGCATGTATGCAGAATTCTCAACTCTTCAGAGGCTAGGTAGGGACCATATGGTGTTATGTATTCATCTTTGTGTGTTCATCATCTCAAATAATGCCTGACACATAACAAGAACTCTTAACTTGTGTG